TATAAGAACACGATAGAAGTTATGTGCATATGCAAACTGAGATAAACTTCTTTAAACAAAACTTTTGCGTGCATGCAGAGGAGCAGCAAATAAGAAAAAGAAGAGACAGTTAAAAGACATCTGCAGCCTCTCAGAGATCAAAGCCCTCTACTCTGCACCTCCCCATACACCCCAACAGCAGCAGCAAGAAGGGCCCCTCACCCTACAAATAAAAAACTCTAGATACACTCAAAGTACGGGGGCCCCCGTAAAGCTGGGGGCCCCCTTATGGTTTGGGCCTCCTTCAGGCTGGGGGCCCCTAAAGTATAGGGGGGCTCCCTTGGGCCCCCTTAATTCTGAGGGCCCCCTTGAGGCTGGGGGCCCCTAAAGTGTAGGGGGGCCCCCTTAATTCTGGAGGCCCCCTTGAGGCTGGGGGCCCCTTGAGGCTGGGGGCCCCTTGAGGATGGGGGCCCCTAAAGAGTGGGGGGCCCCCTTTCATTCTGGGGGCCCTCTTGAGGCTGGGGGCCCCCTTAAGGGCCCCCAGCCTGAACAGCCTCAGCGTTAAGGGGGCCCCCTTATGGCTGGGGGCCCCCCTATGGCTGGGGTCCCCCTGGAGGGTGCTCGTGGGGCCCCCTTCAGGCTGATGATGATGGAGGCCCCCTTGAGGATGATGGTGGGGGCCCCCCTTGGGGGCCTCAGGAGTCAAGGCGCGCTCCTACAGCACTCCTAATCCGCAACAAAAGGAAGGGAAGGAGAGCTGCAGCGCAGCAACAACAGCAGCAGCAACAGCAGCAACAGCATAATAACAAACCGCAAGCATATCTTCTCACTGCTGGGTCTGCAGGACGTGGAGGAGAAGGGCATGCAGCCAGAGGCACTTTGGGGCTTTGTGCATGCGCATGCACGCACTATGCATGCATGCATAAAGCCCCAAAACGCATATATAGACATTGCATGCGTGCACGCAAAGCCCCAAAACGCATGCACGCAGTGTGCATGCAGTTTGCATGCATGCGGTGTGTCTGGTTACCATATTTGTGAGTCTTCATTATAAATGCGAGGGTGCAGCTGTTTAGCAGCAACATAAACAAGCTCCCCACCGACTGCAAAAAAGACGAAAAACAAACAAACAAACAATGGAATGCCTAGCTAGCTAGCTAGCCAACTAGCTAGCTAGCTACATAATCGACCAGATAGCTAGATAGATAGCTAGCTAGCTAACTAGCTAGATAGCTATCTACATAGCTAGCTAGCTGGCTAACTGACTAACTAAGCGTAGGAACTGAGA